TTTCGAGTTCTACTATCCATACGATGTGGACCGCTGCCCATACATCCTGCTCATATGCCGAAATCCACATTCACATGCAAATCCTGCCCCCTCCAAGACACCCCAGGCTATTCTGGATGTATTCAATGAACTTCTTGAGGGTTTGGGCTGGAAACTTGCTGATGCCACCCCACATCAAATTATTTTAGACTCAGTGTTTATAAACAGCCTGCATAAAGCCCTGGCTGGTGAGATCTTTTGTGATCCCACTCTAGGAAACTTACACCCATCCCTTAGTAATGCAGATCACACCACACGATACATAAACAAACTGAGACACGAACATTATCCTCTTGGAACTGGACTTCAAGGTAGGAATCCACTCACTGTTTGTATCACTGTTCCGTCCTCACAGGGATCTAGGAGCCTATCATATACTTGAACAACACATGCAACTCCCACCAGAGAAACATTATGTATGCTGTGTTGAAGAGCGCAGTGTTACAGGAGAAGGCAAGATCTACATAGTTATTTGTATGTTTAAGGCCATGAGTGAACTCTTACTTGAAACCAAACAGCCATCCATTGACATGTCTTTCAAACAGCCCCACAAATGGCAGGAGTTCGAGATTGAGGCTTGGTTTCCAGAATATCATCACTGTGAGTGGTATATTTTAGAGCCAGGAATCATTTGTTGACTAACCCATAACCACTAGCTATTGTTGTAGCCCGTGCGTTCACTATGTCCCAAAGTGCGACAGCTCATCACATTCTTTTCAACCGCATATTTGCAATTGTGTGCAAAGACACTGGCAAAAGCATGCAGTTCCATCACATCCATGGTGATGGATTTGACACCTTCATGGCAGATGGTCATGTCGGTCAAGCCCTAGGTGAGCATGCGTGAACCTTAGAGAAGGTACATAGACTAACTTCATTCGTAGGGCTTGGCTTATGTTGTGAAGAAATATGCAAGAATATGTCAGGCTACTGTGCTATAGAAAGGACCAAATCGTTACATATGTTGATGCCTTACAAGCACCTCGCTCGCATGTATTGCTACTGCTTTGCTCACTTCGTCAGAAATGTCCTTGAGGGGCATGTGTCTCTTGAAGTATGGTCTGCTATGATGAGCATTGCATCCGCTGAGCCATTGCCCAACTTCAAAGCCACCTTACAAGTGATTAGACAGGGGGACAAGAAAGCAGCTGGTGAGGATAATGGTTGCTTCTTTTTCTCACCATGTCTTATGTATAACCTAAGATTGGTTGAAAAACAAAGAGTCAGCATGTGACTTTGCCATTGCGGCACTCTACCAGCCTGCAAGCAAAATTCCGATTGAAGTAGGCTTCACCTTCAACTTCCAATGGTAATGAGCAGGTGCACCAGAACATCAACCATGATGGGATAAAATTGATGATGCTTGTTAAAATTCCTATGCACACAAGCACCCACACACTGTGGATGTATATGGGTGCCCACTGGAAACCTCTGTCGTTTAGCCACTACTTAAACCATGTCTAAACAAAAGAGGTAAAGTACTCAAAACACAATCTATAGAACATATGTTAATTAGATATCATTACTAGACTAACATAAGTCTAGGTAATACAGCCGCTACTTAAACTGCATCTAAATGAAAGAGACTAACATAAGTCTAGTTCGAATAGGTTATGGGCCCCGCACTACCACTATAAAACACACACACAAAACCACTGATTATACTCATCAACATGACACAAGACTTTACTGTGAAGTTCCTGTCGAAGATCAAGACGCTCACGGAAGGACAGTGGGTAC